CAGATTTAGAATAATGAACTATTTATTGAATGTGTTAATGAATATGTATTGATGAGAATAATGAATCATCTATTGAATGTGTTAATGAATATGTATTGATGAGAATGTATTTTCAAATTTATTTTTCAAATATATTAATTGTGTATTCTATATAAATAGGTAAAATTCCACCTCAAATTGATAAGAGTAAGGATAGTGATAAGAAGTCCCAACGCCCGAGATTAGTAACATGTGAGGCCCCTCAGTCGGCCATGTACCCTCCCCCGCAGAGTCAGGTTGATCATATGTCTATGGCCAGTACTCAGCCTTTTGTTCCATTACTCTCCTCTCAGAATATGTCATTTCCATATGGGAGTTCTTCTTTTATTAGCTCGTATGAGGTACTATCTTTTCTTAAGCCACCTGGTTTTCTTTTCCCGCAGACCTAAATGCCCTCATCCTTCCCGCATATTAGAGGACCTAGTTTTCCACATCCCACACAGATGTCCCCATTCTTCCAATAGACTGAAGGATCTAGCACCCCATATCCCACACAGATGCCCTTATCCTTCAAGTAGACTAGAGGATCCAACACCCAATATCCCACACAGATGCCCTTATCCTTCCAGCAGACTAGAGGATCCAACACTCCATATCCCACACAGACTGGAGGATCCCGCACCCCACATCTCACACGGACTAGAGGATCCCGCACCCCACATCCCACACATGTACCTGCACGTGAGGATGATCATGCGCAACCGAATTATGATAATGATGATGTGGATGCGGATGATGATGTGTTGGATGGAAATGATCTTTGAGGGAATGATGATCCGAGTGAGATTCATGTCATTGACGGGAGATTTTGGATTTGGCCCGAAGGAAACTTGTAAGTTTCTTATTTATAAACTTTTATTTAAGAATACATATTCATTTTTAATATAAATTTATATTTAATATTGCTAATTCAAATTATTGTTGTTTAGCTTCTCGCCGAGTCGGATTGCTGCCAAGGTTATAAATTATATAATTCAGCATATGTATAAACAATTTTGAAAGACCTTCAAAGACGTCAAAAATAAAGAAGCTTGGTTTAACAAATTTAAGGTATAATTAACTTATTTTTTTGTTATTATTATTTAAATGACTTTTTCATTATGATTATCTAACTATTTATTTTAATATCATACAATATTGTAGGAAAAATGTGTGTGGGATCCATTGAACGAGAAACTGATTAAAAAATTATTATGGCAGAATCTCAAGACGACTTTCTTACATAATGCAGCGTGTTAGAGAGCATTGGAAACTTCAGGGTATCCTTCCCAATTGGATAGGCAAAGAGGTTTTTGAGAAACTTCTTAAATATTGAGAGTCACCCGAATTTCGGGCTAAATCTGAAAATTTTAAGAAGATGAGGGCATCTGAAAAGGGGAATTGCGTTAATGCAGTTGGAAGTATAAGTACTGCAGAGCATGTTCGACGGATGGTAAATATTACTATTTTTTTAAGTTATATTTTAATTCATAATATATTTTATTAATTAAAGTTAACTTTATTATTTAGACCAAGACTTTCGGGAGACCTCTGTTGATGATTGAGTTGGTTAAAAAGACTCACACAAAGAAAACCAGGAATTTTGTTGATGAACGTACTCTAAAAGTTTTCGTAAGTAATTTAATTTACGTTGTTTATATTTTTATTTATTTATTGACAATTTTGTATCATGATTTTCACGTGGCAACCGAGAAATTGTGACGTGAAAATCATGTGGCAATTGAGAAGTCGTGGCGTGAAAATCACGTGACAACTTTTTTAATATAATTTAATTTAATATAATTTAATTTAATATATATATATATTTAACTTAACTTTTTTATTGAATGTGTAGGAGGATTATCAGACATTGCTTGCAAATTTTCTGATTCATAATTCTCAATATACTCCGGGAGAGGGAGAGACGCTTCATCCAAATGTGAATTTTTATTTTTGGGATCAAGTCATTGGCGGAAAAGGCCCTAACGATTAATTTTTTGGTGGTGAAAATTTGGCAGGCACATTGAGAAGTGGGGATAGAACTCTATTTCAAAGAGTTAGAGATGGGAAAGGAGGGTCGCGTCAACCAAATTTGACACCAGAACAACTTGAAACAGTAAGACAATTGACGTTAAATGAGGCGAGACGCAAGTCAGCGCAACGTGAGGTGGCAATGGAGGCCCAAATGGAGGCAATGAGGCAAGAGAAACAACGAAAAATAAAGGTCATGGCGAAGAGGCAAGCTGATATGGAGCAACAAATGTGACAATTTATGCAAGGGTTTGGTGGAAATCAAAATGTCTGTGGCCAAGAGTCGGAGGATAACAGAAACGAAGATAATTTTGACATTGACAACTATACCAATCAAGATGACCCGTAGAATTAAAATTTTTTATTTTACTTTCAAATTTGAATTTGTGTAACATACTAATTAATTAAACCTATTTAATATATTAAATTAATAATTCTTAAGTTTATAATATTAGTTTATTAATTTTATTATATTAAATTTAATATATTGAATTTATTATATATTGAATTTATTAATTTAGTTTATCATATATTGAATTTATTATATATTAAATTTATTAATTTAGTTTATTATATATTAAATTTATTAATTAATTTTATTAATTTAATTAATTATAAAAAGAAAAAAAATTTAAGCAATTAAATTTAAAAAAAAAATAGTAACGTGATTTCCATGTCACAAAGTTGTGATATGAAAATCACATCGCAACTTATTTTATTCCATAATAAAGTTAAACTGAACGTGTATTGTTAAAATATTAGCGACATGATTTTCACGTCACAATTTGGTGACATCAAAATCACGTCGTAACTTATTTATTTTATATAAAAAAAATAAAAGCTTAATGCAGAAAGAGGTGTTAAATGTTATTAATTAATGACGTGATTTTCACGTCACTATTTTGTGACGTAAAAATCACGTGACAAATAAAGTATTTTTTCTGACTTGACTACTTATGCGTCTGCTTCTCCTGCAAAGGTTAAATTTCTATGCAAACATGTTACGACGTGATTTTATACGTCACAATTTTGTGATATGAAAATCACATCGCAAATAAATTGTCACCTGTTCCCCAGCCACGTGATCGTTCACGTCACAAATTAGGAGTTGTGACGTGATTTTTCACGTTGTGACGTAAATGAGATTTTTTTTATAATATTATGTGATTAAAGAATCACATATTTCTAAGATTTCTTCATATTTATTACTATTTACTATTTGTTTATTTCAAATGTGTATTTCTCTTAAGTTTTTTAGTCCATATTTTAAATTTAAGTTTATTTCACATTTTTTGTTTTACTTTGATTTTATTAAAGAATTTATTAATTTATATTTTATGTCATTTTTACTAGTACTAATTTAATTATCCCATAACAAATATTGCTCTCTTTATTTTAAATTAAAAACTTATTTCACATTTATATGCAGATTAAAAATCTGATTTTTTTTAACTTTATAAAAAAATTCTTTTTTAAGTCTTGACAAATCATTTAAGCTCTATAAAAAAAACTAAAAATATTAATATTATCCCTCATTTAAATTCATTCTCATAATTTTCATTTTCCTCTTTATTAAAATATAATCGCAATGATGAACACTCTACATAACTCTTTATTTGTCTTAAAATTTTGTCTTTAGTTTTCACTATGTTTTAACATTCTGGAAATTGATAGATGAAGATTCAAACAACTTACTATCTACTTTTGAGAATAGATTAACATAGCATGACATAGAATTTATTTGTATATATTTAAATGAGAGATGAATTTAATAAAAAATTAGAGAAATATTATTATTGTATTAAAGATTCAAAATTTATTATTTATTTAAATACAGATAATTATATAAGAAATAAATAGATGAATGTTAAGTAATATGAGTATCAAATAAGCACGTAATGTTATTTATAATCATTTAATAAAAATATAATATTTTATAATAATATTATTAAATTTTTTAATTTGTGTACAAAATAAAAGATATTTTGATTTGAAAAAATTGGAAACAATATTTAAGAGTAAAATGAATAAATGGGGGAAAAATGATGTGAATACTAAATAAACATACATTGATATTTATTGAAAATTAACAAAAACTATTAAAATAATAAATAATAAGGAAAACAAAAAAAATAATTAAAATATTCACTTACAGCAATGAATGGACGAGAGAAAGGAGAGAGAGAAAAAATACATTTTGGTATTTTATAAAAAATCACAGAGAGAAAGGAGAGAGAAAAAAAATACATTTTGGTCACATCGTACTCATGTAGCAGTACTAGTATTCTTAATTCCATTACTACTATCATCTCCCTTCCCAATGACCTACATTTTTGGTTTTCTTTGCACCTACAAGCTTGGGAGTGAGTGTAAATCAGATAAGACTAGACTAGAGAAAGAGAGAGGGGTATTATTCTCTTTTCAAAACTTCATTTTTTTAAAGAAAAAATAAAAAATAAAGATAATTCTTTTGCTCTATAAATTCTATTTCTATTTAAAAATTAATAAAATTTATTAATAAGTAAATTTGTAATTAAGATAAAGAAACTAGTTTGTGTAAATAAAATAAATTTATTATGAAAATTTATTGAATAATTAATATATTGAAGAATATGGTAAAGTAGAAGAAAAGATAAACCATACTACTATGTCATTACATGATCACAAAATTGAATTGTCCTTTAAATTCCTTACATGAAATGTGACCGTTTTATGCTTCAAGGATCCGCTTTTCTCGCTTCTTCACATTCATTTATATATATCACCAATCTTTTTCATATTTTCCTCTCTCAAACACATACTCTCTCTCTCTCTCTCTCTCTCTCTTCCTCTCAGATACTGTCTCAGCCTTTACCACATCATCATGTCATTTTCATTCTGATTTCACCACTTTAACAACCTCTTTTCAACACCACTTTTCAAATCTCATCTATCTCACAATTTTACCAATTATGGGTAAAGATTGGTATTGGGGTGCCAGAAAATCCTCCAAGAAAACAACACCTCAAACAGATATCCCTTCTGGTTGCATGTGTGCACTTTTTCAAACCTTTGATTTTCATCCCTTTCACTTTTCCATTAACCAACCACAACAACATCACTCTCCCATTAACTCCATCTCCAAAGAACCTGAAGCTCCAAGGAATAGCTTGGAATCACAAGATGAACAGAATTTCAAAATCCCAGTAAGTTTTTTTTTTTATCTTTAGGCTTGTTACCCGTTTATCTGCATAAGTCTTTATTATATAACGATTTTCGCTACTAATTAAATAGTTTTTGATTTTGATAATGCAGAAGAACATAATAACAAGAGGAGGAAGTTTCAATGATCTTTCCTCTGACGTTTCATCTCCCGGAACAAAGACACCAACTTTGGTAGCAAGACTAATGGGTCTTGATCTTCTTCCTGATGCAAACTCACCTTCTTCATCTTCCTCTTCTTCTCTCTCAACTCCAAGCAGACAAAGCCATTACCATACTAGACCAAAACCAGACAAGATCAAAATAATGAAACACAGACACAGCACAGACAGTGTCATCATGCGGTCTTTGCCTGAAACTCCAAGGTTGTCCTCAGAAAAAACATCATCATTTGTTCAACATAGACTCTCTCTACAAATCAACAAAGAAAATATGATTCACGGTGAAGATTTAGACACTCCTCCTCGGTTTTCATTCTCAAAGATCAGAAAACATGTTAAGGAAACTGTTGGTGGAAGAAAAGTTGGCAAAGACATCACCAACAACACAATCAAAATTTCTAATGAACATGAACATGAACAAGAACAAGAACAAGAGAAAGCGCTGAAACCGCTAGAAGAATCAAAACAAGGAAAACATTCAAACACATCATCTCACTCCCCAAGACTCAGCAGATTCAATGATAACAACGTCAACAACAACCACAGACATTCTCCAACTCTCAAAGACCAAAACACACATCAAGTATTAAAACAATCATCACGACCACCTTTGGTCAACATTGAAGCACGGGTTTCAAGAGATTCAACAAAGACTAAAACTCAAGCAATGTCAGAACAGAAAGAGATGATGACGAAGGACAACAAATCTTTCCCAAAATGCAAGAAAACAGCACATGGGAATACGAGTCCACGGATCAACAAGAATCAACAGACAACAATAAGAAACAAGCAACAAGAGTCTTTCATTATTCGACCTTCATCATCAACAACCAAAACCAAGAAAACTCATCCACTTTCAAACAACACTCTCCTTCTCAAAACACACCCTTCTCCTCCAGATACAAAAATCCCTCAAAAACAGGTATTAATTATTCAAATCTTCACTTTTTTTACTTTTACTTCAAATTTTTTTAAAATCTATTTTCATCATATTTTTTATTATTTTATAATATCAAATATAGGTGAATGATGATGTCCAAGAATCCAAAAACATTTCACAGTTATTTAGTTCTTCGAGCCAGAAGTACACTCTCTGCAACCAAACAACCAAGGATGAATCAAAATCTAACGGTTCTATTGCAGCCGTAGGCGAAGACCAAGAACCAGAATATCAGTACATCACAACCGTTCTAAACCGTACAGGAATACACAGAGAACCAATAACAAATCTTCAACATTTTCAATGGTTCTCTTCAACACATCCATTAGACCCTTCAATTTTTCACCGTCTTGAACTCTACCCAAACAATAAAGATAACGAATTTACACAGAAAAACCATCTGGGTCCACTCTGTAACCGTAGATTACTATTCGATTTACTAGACGAAGTGTTGTCGGAGATCCTCACCAAACCAAACAGTTACCGCGGGTTGTTGTTAGTAGACACAGTATGGAACAAAGTTCGGAGTTTCCCACGTGCGAAATGCGAGGTTTTAGAAGACATAGACGGGTTAATAGAAATGAAAGACTTGATGGATAAGATGAAGGAAGAAGAAGGTGAAAAACTGGTGGCGGAAATTGAAAGGAAGGTATTAGAAATGTTAGTGAATGAAACAATAACCGTTATGGTGGGTCCTAACCGTTGATAACGGCGTCGTTTTGTGAGGGTGATAGTGGGAGACGAAGAGACACGAAACAGAGGTTGTCACATGGGATGAAGATTCACGTGATGAGATGCTTTGTTCATGGTGGTATGTATGCATGACGATGGATCCATCATCATCAATGGAGGTTTTGTTCATGGTGGGTCCATATGTATGTACCATGAAGGTTTTTTTAATGCGAAAGATTTTGCAGCGGAATTTATGGTTAATAATTATTTTTCTCTATGTTCTTTTAAGTTTTATACTACTTACTTTCTTTTTCTTGTGTATATACTCTATTTGATTTGTATTTCAGGAAATTTATTGAAAGTTGGTGAATTATCTTTCTCTTTTATTTCAATTTTATTGCTATTAGTAGTACTTTCGTTTTCTTCTAATGTCATAGTCTGATGTACAATAAAATTACTATAAGAAACATGATTAATCGATAGTGTAAAATTATTTTAAAAGGTTAATAAAGATGAGAATATATTAGGTCGGTCTACAGGAATCTATAATCTAATCTATTTGAAGTTAGGTTACATTTTGACTTTTTTAAAAATCTATTTAATTAAATAGATCAAACTTAAACTATTAAAAAAATCTATAAAATTTTATAGATCGACTTATATTTTTATATATATTAAAAATTTAAATAACTCGGTCTATATATGTATATATATTAAAAATAATTTAAATAAATATGTCAATATATGTATATATATTAAAAAAAAATTAAATAAATATGTCAATATATGTATATATATTAAAAAAAAATTAAATATATAAATTAAATATACAAATATATATATATATATATATATATATATATATATATATATATATATATATATATATATATATATATATATATATATATATATATATATATATATATATATATATATATATATATATATATATATATATATATATGCCGATTTATAAACTTTCTTAAGTGATATAGATTTATTGAAAAACTTAAAAAAAAAAATTTAAATAAATTTTCAAATTACACTTTAAAAAAAATCAAATTAGACCAAAAACTGAATCTACAATAATTCATAAGTAAAATTCAAACTTTATAAGTTTATCATAAATCACACTTAAATCTTATAAAATCTACTTTAACCTAACATATTTCCACTCTAATGGTTGGTGCATCACATTTTTTTTCTTGTATTAACCATTGGTATATTTTTATTATTATAAATATATAAATATAAATAGAGAATAATAGTATTTTTAATATTAATTGAAAAATATATAGGATGGTTGGACTCACATGCCCTCCATAGGGTACTATTTATATTGAAGCGATCTATGATATTATTAATGAATAAGCTGTATAATTTTGTTATTATAACTGACTCTTAGATAAGTGGTGGTATATATTTGGTTTGATAGACCCGGACTCGATAAATTTTAAAACAACAAGAACATGTTAGTGTTTATAAAAGCCTGATTTTTAAGTGAGTTAATTTTTTGGGATGATCTCAGAGGATTGACTAACGTGTTTTATGTCATCATCTTATGTCGGTGAGCACCTCAGATCCATTGGTTATTGAGTCTATTATGTTGCCCATTGAGAGGTGAAATTTATTCATGGACAACCTATAAGATATTTTGATTGGGCCTATTGGACCCATACCATTACAAAAGTTTTCACACCTTTGGCTATCTTAAAAGTTATTATATATATATATATATATATATATATATATATATATATATATATATATATATATATATATATATATATATATATATATATATATATATATATATATATATATATATATATATATATATATATATATATATATATATATATATATATATATATATATATATATATATATATATATATATATATATATATATATATATATATATATATATATATATATATATATATATATATATATATGTCTCTTACGAGTAAATTTATTTGATATTATATAAAATATATTTAAATATTTATAAATTTAAAATAAATGATTTAATTATAAATAAATAATGATCATATAAATCTAATTGTATCGAATAAATATATAAAAAATAATATGTGAGATGGAGAAAAAAAAATGAAATTTAAACATTTGAAAATAAAAATTATTTATAATTGTTTATTTAAATACAAATGTAAAATTTAAAATGATTCACTTAATTGTAAAATGAATAATAATCATATAAACTTAATTATGTTAAATAATCACACACACAAAAACAAAAGAACCGTGAGATGGAGAAATAAAAGAATTAATATTTAAAAATAAAGATTTTGTCTTTTAAATTAAGACCATTGTTGATTAAAATAAAATACATATTGTGTTGTTAATGACCTGTGAGATAAATAAAATTTTAATTTTATTAAAATAAAAAAATAGATTATTAGTATTTTTAGTGATAATAAATAAATAAAGAGAAAAAATTTAAAATGAAAGTGAGAAAGTGTGAGAAAAAAGAAATGTTAGGGAGATTTGAAATTTTAATCAAAGAGAGAGAATGAGTGTATGTAATATTTAATTGTGATTTAATTGGTAAAATTGAAAAATGAATGTCACATGTCATGCTGTAATAGAAGATGAAGTTAGTTTCATGTTTTTATGGTTGGCTAAATTTTGGCTAAGCATGGTTCTAAACATGGTTCTATATTGATATTGAGTAAGATGGTGCAACATCTTTATCAACTGTCATAACAATTCTAACTGTTATGAGTTTTTCTATTAGTTGAATATAATGTCATAACATCCGGACCAGCAGGTACAACAGAGTCTGCAGGTGTCTTATTTGAAAGATGTTTCAGGAGATGTTGTAACATGTTACAACAGAATATCTTGACAGTGCGCTGAATATTTTATCCTTGAATTTTTTATTTGAAGATATGAGTATCTGAAATATTCTATACTCATTATATGTGCGGTCCAATCAAAGATTTTGTAAGAAACAAGTGCAGATTTGATTGGTTACTAAAAAGGATCGATTGAGACTTTTTAGGAAATTTTTTATGAAGATTGTTTCTATTTTTGTGCAAAATATTCTATAGAGATTTTTTATCTGAAGATTGGAGTTGATTGAAGAATCCCAGCCAGTCCAGGACCAACTGCATAAGCCTATATGAGAAGTCGTCCAAGACCTAATTTTTAAGCATAATTTTTATTGTAAAGCATTGTAAAAAAGGGGTTTAGGGTTGGTAATTTCATAGGTTCTCCGTGTGTTTGTTTGTACATTCTCACGTATCTCTGATATATTTGAGTTGACTGATTGTTACTTGCTTGTCAAGTTATTTTTCTCACTCAAAGCCCGTAGGCACGAGTTGAGTATTGTTCTTGATTGAAACTTTTAAGCAAGACTAAGTATTTGTTTTTTGGAAGTGTTATCTTCTTTTGGTTGTAATTGACGAGAGTGTACTTCCTAACAATTCCTAGGACTTGAATTGTTTTCCCTGTGATTGGGAGTTTTTATCACTGTGGTGATTGGAAGTGAGATGGAGATTTCTCATATCTAGGGAGGACCTAGGTAGAAGTTGCACTGGGTGAGATTAGGTGATAAGTTGTAAATGGGGGAATTTAGCTTTGAACTAGTACTATTAATAGTAGATTTCCTTCCTGGACTGGTAGCCCCCAGAGTAGGTGAGTTGCACCGAACTGGGTTAACATATCGTTGTGTTATTTCTTTTTCTGTAAGTTATAGTTTTGTTGTTTTGTTATTTTTATTTGTTATTCTGTTAACAAATGTCATAATATTTGTCGTGACATTGTGTTTGTACGTTGAGACATCAGTATTGATATCTATATTGTGTGCGTGCCAAAATTTCAATTGGCATCAAGAGCAGGCACCCTATTATGGTTACTGGGTGAGATTCAGGGATACATATGTACTGGCACTATGGAGAAAGAATGAGGTTATAACAACATACCACTCATGTTGGATGGTTCTAACTACGACTGGTGGAAAGTTCTAATGATAAATTTTTTTAAAGTTATGGACAACAAAGCTTGGAAGGTTATTTTGAAAAGATGGAAGCATCCTGTTATGAAGATCATTGACACATATGGAAAAGAGGTTGAAACTGACACAATCAAACCTGAAGAAGAATTGAATGAAGATGATGATAAAGAAGCTATTGGGAATTCCAAGGCTTTAAATGCTCTATTCAACGAAGTAGACAAAAATGTTTTCAGGTTGGTTAATATGTGTACAGTGGCCAAGGAGGGTTGGAAAATTCTCAAGATAATTCATCAAGGTAGCTCTAAGGTAAATATCTCAAGACTTCAACTTCTCACTTCTACATTTGAGAACTTAAAGATGAATGATGATGAGACAATTCAAGAATATCAAATAAATATTTTTGAAATTGCTAGTGCATCAAGTGCACTGGGAGAGAAGATGTCATAAGCCAAGTTGGTCAGAAAGATTCTTAGGTCCTTGCCTAGGAGATTTGACATGAAGGTCACAACAATTGAAGAAGCTTAGGACATTAACAACATGATAGTGGATGAACTTATTGGGTCACTTCAAACATTTTAATTGACTATTGGTGACAAGGCTGAGAAAAAGAACAAAAACACAGCTTTTGTATCCAATGTTGAAGATGATAAAAGTCAAGTTGAGCTGGACACTGATGAGGTTCTGTCTAATACCATTGTTCTTCTTGGAAAGCAATTTAATAGGGTATTAAAACAATTGGACAGAAGAGGAAGCTCATATGTCAAGAACATCTCATATGACATCAATAATAATATTGATTCTCAGAAGAAAACAAGATCAGAAGAGAAGCCAGGTTAAAACAGAGACATTCAAGGTTTTAAATGGGAAGGATATGGTCATATTAGAAATGAATATCCTAACTTCCTCAAGAAACAGCGAAATGGTTTCACTACATCTTGGTCTGATGATGATAAGTCAGAAGATAAAGATGATTTTGAGACGACCAAACTTGTGTTGGCTCTATCTGGCATATGGGCAGATGAAGTTGAAGCTTGTGATGAGTATGATGA